ACATATCATTTTCTTGTGACTATCAATTGTCATGCTTGCAGCAGAAATGAACTGGAAGGAACTAGAAAGCAATAACCTGTATGCCCAGTTGTGCACACAGATACAAGCACCATGCAGGCAGCTGAGAGCAGAAGAATTTTGTCCATTTGCCAAAATTATGAGGACCAGAATATTAAAAGTATCTAAATATTAGACCTATTCATCCAAATATAACAAATAAATATGTAAATATTTGGATAGCAATTTAAGAATAGCAGTTAAATCGGTGTTAAATGCCTAAACAACTTAAAAGATCTGCGATTCACTCTGTTCTTGAAAGGCAACATTCTTAGCTTCATGGAGACTTTTCATTAACAGTAATAGTAATGCAATATGGCAAATTATTTCATAAAGGGTTTTGATCCCTCTGGAATTCATGAGCACTGGCCAACTACAAGATGAGAAAAATTAAGAACTTTATTAGTCATTGAGCTGTCTTTAATTCAGCCATTCGAGTTTTAAGTCTTCTAAAGTCCTGATACGGACATTGCTCCACCAGTCTCCTGACAGTGCTGAGGCACTCCTGATGAAGTCAGTAACAGCTAATCCTATCACAATTGCAAAAAGTACTTAAATTAGTGGTTCAAGGTACCTAGCCTTCCACTGTTCTGAGATGTATATTGTTAATGTACTTCAAGACAGAAATTTGAAAGATCTAACAAGTATTTGACATCTGGCATGGTGACTCAATTAATTATTGTCCTGAATTAATTAGCTTGCTGTATCTCCTCAGCTAACAGTAGTGAGTCTGTATTCAGCACCATAGCACTGCTTGAAATATAAAGTGCTTCAGCAGGATACTACATGTACAGATTTTGTTCAGTGCTGAGCAAAAGGCTAGCAGGTAGGCTATAACTGTGCTGGTTAGGTAAGTGAATCCTGTGAGGAAGAGTAATTGTCACACTGCTACTGCTAAACAACAGTAAAGACAGGTAAGACAGTTGTAGTCAGCCACAAACATACTTTACAACAAAGAGATCAGGTGCAGAAACTGTGATATTCACTCACCTGAAGTTCACCAAATTTTTCTTTGCTCTCAAAACCAAAAATTAAATATTTTTTCCAAAGATTATTTGATGTTTATAACAGCACAATATTTGAAGTTCTCATTCAGAAATGTACTAAACCTGCTGTCAGCTGCTGTTGTGAAACTGTGATTGAATCCTAGGGAGGTAAAACTTAACCCAAATGAGCTTTCAAAAATAGATATAAATAACTTAAGCAAACAAACACAACTCCCCTTATAAACAACAGAGAGCATGTATGCTAGTGAGAAAAGTAATCAAATGTGTCAAGCAAACAGAAAGATCATAAATAAAACAGAATAATTTCAAGAAAAAAAGATAAAAGAAAAATACACAGAAGCTGGCACTGGGTTTGTGTTGCTTAAACAGTAAATTAAAAATTTATTCAAAGCTTTACATTTCCTTACAAAACATTTAAAAGTAGCAAGTGAATGATTACGGGAAGCATCTCTGATATTCAAAAGAGAAACAATACTTAGAACCGTAGACTCACTCAGGCTGGAAGGGACCTCTGGGGGTCATCCAGTCCAAACTCCCGCTCAAATCAGGGCCAACTTCAAAGTTAGATCCAACTTTGAAGTCAGATTAGATTGCTTACAATCATATTCAGTTGAGTTTTGAATATCTCAAAGGATAGAAATATTTAGGGAGCAAGAGAATATTGACAAGGATGACAATTCTGTTTACAGGAAACTTTTCAGATTTCAAAATGTATTTATACACTTTGCCTACATGAGGCAATGGTGTCTGATAATGATAACTTTCGTGTTACGGGTCAGTCTTTGTCCATCTCCCATACTCAAACATTTGCTTTATGTCTTATATACCTGAAGGAGTGGTAGAAGTGGACAGGGCAACAGGGGCAGCACGTTGTGAGCACTATGTGGACAATGACTAAGGTTTCTATTGCATAAGGATTGACAAGAGTAGTAGTGGTGGAGCCTTAGAAAATTGTTTCAATTACAGCTAGTTGTAGCAAACAACGTTTTATGAAAAACAGTATATGAGCGTTGATAGACTAAAAATAAAATAGATGATGAACAAGAAATGAAATAAAATAGATGGAGAAGAGCAAACGGAAACAGATTTTCAAATTACCCATTTCCCTTTTTAACAATAGGAGGTTTTGAGCATCCAGCACATTTGAAAATACATCCTTTATTCACGTAACTGAATGGGAAATCTGACCTGGATTGGGAATGCTGAACTCTTGCAAACTTAGACAAAGCTTCCATGACGCTTTCTGTAATAACTCGTTAGCACCTTTTGATAATAAAATACACTAAAAAGTCTATGACATATCAAGATTTTAAATGGCTACTATGTACACGCAAAAATATAGTGCCTCATTACAATTTCAATAGGCATATTTACAGAAAGTAATACGCATGCTCTCCAGGAAGCTTTTAAAAACAGAACTCCGATTTACAGCCATAGGTTCTCCAGGGCGGAGGTAAAGAACTCCAGTTGCTCCACTCCCCCACCCCATCCACAGCACCCCCTCCACATCACCCTGCCTCACTTGCCCCTCTGACATATTTCAGCTGATCAGCGTTCCCCATTCATGAGCACTAGCATCACTTCTGTTCTGGTCCTCCCATGTGAGACGGAGCAGTACCCCCAGCCCTGGGAAGTTCAGCTCCTCACTTCATATCCGAGTCGTATCTACCCTAAATGTATGTAACAGATTTCAGCAAAATAGTTCCACAGTTCTTTATGTTAATGAGTTCATGCAAAATCTGTAATATCCAATTGAGAATAATACTTCTTTAGCAGTATCCTACAAGGGCAACGCATATTCTCATACCATCTAAAATACTTTTGTCTACGTATATAATTCTTTCTTCATTAAAGGGTCACTTTTCCAGATATTCTCAGAAAATTAATCTGAACTAAATATAAACGATATTGAAGCACAGACTTAAAATCAGTACAAACAAAAATGAAATGAAGACCTAGGAATGATATGATTTTCAGCACACTGAACTGAGATCAGCATTACTTATAAGTAGGATGGCCCAAATACTTTCTGCCTAATAACAAATATATTATACAACAAGTGCCTTTTAATATCTTTCAAAGTAATTTTAAACTGCTGAAAGATCTTGCTATGTTCAGTTGTCTTAATATTAAGGTAAATTTAATGGACTTTAGTATAAATTAATGCACCTGTTTATTTTCTACATCACACATTAATGTAAATTAAATACTCAGCTATTAATGCTATGAAACTTTTAAAACTACACTCAAAAACAGGCATTTTATTAAAAATAAAAAGCACTGGTTTGGTTTAGTAAACAAAGAAGTGATATCTTCCTTCTTCTAAAAAATAATAAGTTTAATATTATGTGCTCCAAATAACTTTAGGTGGATGGCTGCCACATACAGATGATCTAATTGGAAAAGATCCAAAAACCACTGTCCGGGAGAGCTAACAATGCCTGTTTTTAAATGCTCTGTTTGAGTAACAACACAGGCTGTTCCCTAAGGAATGACGCACAACATAACGAAGTAAAGCGTCTCTGAGCATCTACATACCAAGGTGTTATTATTCAGATCCATCTTCCCAGCAAAAGGCCCCCATGTTGTTCCAACCGGAAGCTGCTGCCGGCTCTGAATCTTGCGCTCCCCGTCTTTCTGGAACATCTCCAACTCTCCTGCAAACAAAGAAAACAAGCACTGTTTAGAGTACTTTCACTTGTGCCTTGACAACAACCACCTCTGCCTTTGTGTTTGCCTTATATGCACAGTGTTCTGAGGACCCGTTTAATGAGAATTAATTATGCTTGTCTGAAAAACAACTGATCTTGTCATCCCGCAGAAGAAAAACAAACGTTTTTCCTTAGAATTATATTCAAATTTGGTTTAGAAAGTCCCATTCCTTTCTTGCATCTTTTCACACACATTATAGTTTGAAGGCATTTTTTATTCAGTAAATCCTTGAGAATGAGTGAGAATAGTGGTTCATAAAAGTTCTTAAGAAATATTGAGGAGGGGGAAGAAGATAGCTGAAAAGAGAAACTGCAATAATACGCACACCTGGTCCATTAACCTCCTTGATGCATTTTTGCTGTCACAAAGACCACATTCTGAAGCATGCAGCTACTAAAAATTTTAGAGACATACTTTTTTTTTGCAGTTATAGCAATATAAATCTAGAAGTGACCACACTGATTTTGGAGGAGCTACTAGAAACATTTACTAGAATTTAAAAACAATTTTTTGAATTAAATGAACTTTTACAGCATTAATAGTTTAGAATTAGACCCGAAACAATTTAATTCATTATATTAAGGTTTTAACACTAAACGTTTAAAAACAATGGGTGTATAGAGAATGATCATTTCTTTTTTCCACTCTGAAGTGGCTTTGTATGTGCTAATTTTTCTTTTCTTTTTAAAGTGAACTTTATTTTTGAAAGTAACAACATCAAAATTAACATTTATAATTGGAAGTCTTAGCTTAGGCTCACTACTAAATTTTCTTTTTTTTTCCCAGCGAAAATAAATAGAAAGATAAACAAGCAATTGTTCATTGCCTTGGAAGGAAAAACAAAATTCTGTCACCATCTTTCTCCCCAATACTTTTATTTTACTGTATTGCAGGATTAAAAAAATACTGACAACTCTTCTTTGCAAAGCAGCCTCTTCAATAGTCTATTCTTTTAAGAATAAATTTTTCAGTTACAAATGTAGCAACAGCTACGTTCCTACACAAAATTTCTAACACTTTTTCTAATGCAATTCAAATAAATGCTGTCTTCAAATTTTAAGGGACGGTAAGATAGGGGACTGAGCTATGCTTCTCTTGTTAGACACTGAACAAAATTTTTATATGCTGTCGTTCTTCCAAGCTTTAGCCTTCCTGAAGGTAGGCATTCATGCTGAAAACCTGATTTTGTTGCAGCGTATAACAGAACTCCTACCCATTTCACTGCAGCCATGCTTTCACCCTACCTGTTTTCCATACATCGTCTTCTTCCCTTTTGATACCAACCAATCAGATGCAACACTAATTCCTGCCTTTTACCTCTGTGCGTCCCTCCTCAACAACTCTACCCCAAATCAGGACTGTGCTTCTGCACAAACACCGTGAAGTCCAACTATGCAATAAGTAAACTCGTCCCAGATTTAGAACTGGCAATTGTCGAGAAATCGACCTTGGGCTGGAGGAAGTGAGTAACTCCTGCTGGCTCACAAGCAGTCTCCACATACTTCCCAAAACTAACCATTCCCATGAATGCCTGGATTTGTGCTACAGCCAGACTGTGAAGGTTTTCCTTGTCCTTAGGAGTTAATCTTGACCATTTTCCAAAGAGAAGACTTGGCTCCAGCTTCCATTTGCAAGCAAATAAATAAATCTGAATTTCACCTCTGAGCGCTGCGGATTACAAAACTATTTAAAATGGCGCATCAGATCCTTTTTGCAAACTGGGACGTGAAATGTTCTATGAAATAGAGCTGTATCTGTTCACAAAAGCTTGTATATGTTTGTGGGTGAATTCTCATCGTGATGGTGCTATGATATTTTAAAGGACACTATATAAGCAGGAAAGGCTACAGATTAATTATATATAATTTACACATGGGATATGTATGTGTGCATAAATATATAGATGTGAAACATACAACTTTTTCCCCCTCACAAGCATGTTGTCACAAATTGAATTAACTTAAAAAAAACCTCTTTATATGTTAATTGTAGACGATCGGACTCTTCCCTGTATTGCAAGGCAACATGTTGCTCACTTACATGTACTGCAGCATTTCTTCTCTACATAAAGATGAAAACTGCAGCATTTACTTGCTTTTACACACTAAAAAACAGCCATGTCTATGGACATGTCACATTTAACTGATACCAGAGGAATCATGAGAATCTTTGAAAACCCTTTTAAAAAATAATTCAGCCTCCCTTTCTGCCACTGACATTTTTCATTTGAAAAGGGTTCAGACTCAGTCAAACAGTGACTCCTTATCTGTACCTGTGGATTTACAAGCAGGCCTGTCTTTTAATGGATTAAGAACGACAAACTTAGGGCAGATCATCCAGTGATATCCAAAAACCTACCTAAGTTTTAAGGTATACATCAACATATTTTATATTTTAAATAAGATTCACAATATTAACCCTATCTTTAAAAGTAGTTTAGGCTTGAGGCACACATAAAAACAAGCAATCATTTTCCAAAACTGCATTTTTTGCCTTTAACTGATAATTGAATAAGTTAATGTGGATTCACCCTCTCTTTTACTCTTTCTTCTTATAGTCGCAAATTGTAGTTTGAGCAATCTATTTACATAGGTATTAATATTTGAAATGTACTCCAGGTAGAGTAACGTTATACTGAATTGTACTGAAACGGTTGTATTTTGCCCTCCACTAAGAATGTCATAACAGAGAGCAGTAGATTATAAAGAGGGTTACAAAACACTTTGCATCATAAACTTTTTTTCCTGTGATCATAATTTTCCAAAAAAGAGAAATCTCTCTATGATCTCTAAAATGGCTGCTGGCAAAGACCATAAAGTTATGGGTGTACGCAAGTGTTAGAGTTGAGAAAGACAATCTGCCCATGTGTTTTGGCAAACAAACACATTTTAGCTATGCTTGTACAAGGTGCAGCACATTACAATTTGATCCTTGACAAAAGTTATTTTTCTCACAGCAAATTTCTGTTTGTTTGGGGGGGGGGGGGGGGCAGATCAATTTTCTGAGCTTGGGAGCAGATTGTCAGATGAGAGAACTCTGGAAGGTGGTTAAAAATATTAACGAAATTTAGTTAAAGTCTGTTGCTCAGTCCGTGGAATCACATACAGGAAAGAAAAAAAAAAAAAAA